GGGCAGCAGATAACGGTTTCCCCAACTGTGACAATTTATGAATAAAGCAATTTTCCATTTTAATGGGCTTTTCCCAGGTTCTTGATGGCAAGTGGACAACTTCCAGATAGTAGGCGCTCAGATCTAGTCCTCTAGCTGGGCCTCCTGATAACAAAACAAAGGCCTGTAAGAGGATAGTTCAGTCCTAGAGAAAAGACTGGAAACTCTTGGTCATCTCAGAGCTGTCCAGGCAGCCAGGGCATTTACACCTCTTTAGTAGTCACTGAGAGATGTAAGCAGTGGGTCCTGCAGCCCCAGGGAGCCCTCAAGAAAGCTAAGTGCTGAGGAGCTGAGGTGTGAAGATGACAGAGAACCTGAAGGATGTCGTGGAACAGCAAGCAGTACCGTCTCAAGAAGTCTAGTCTGAGGCTGGGGATTTAGCTCAGTGGCACCACACCTTCCTTGAAAGCACAAGGTCCTGAGTTTGATCCCCGGTACCCACCCCACCAAAAGAAGTCTATAGTCTGAATTTGAGAATCCTGCTTTCTTGAGGAAGTACCAAACTGTTTTCCAAAGGAGCAATCCTATTTTATAATCCCACTTTGCTTAAGGCAACACAGGAAAGCTCAAATCTCTCTACATCCTCTCAACACTTGTTACTGTCTGCCTTTTTTAACAGAGCCATAGTTAGTATGAAAAAAATATTTTTTTCTATTTTAGACTTTTATTAAAATATCTTCTTACACAAGCAAAACATGTTTTTCCCTACAAAGCAACACATTTTCCTCTACTCAACAATAATCATATTCCACCCTATTTGCAACTGAAACTTAAGTCTATCACAGGTTCATGGACACCAGCAGAATACCAGCCTCCTGGGTCAGACACAAAGGATTTTATTACTTACTATAATCACAGTAGTCAGAGTATTAGCACTTCATGTAACAATTCCCTGAGCTCTAATTCCCCCAAAGGAGGGCCAAGTGACAGCTGCACACGCAGCCAGGGTGTATTACAGGAGGAAAACCCCAAGCTTAGGGAAGCTGAATTTTTTACACTATACAGGCACATTTGCCCTTTGCTCCTAGGAAGACCCTATCTCTCTGTCTTAAGGCTGTTTGATATATAAACACACAGTTGAGAAATGATAGCCTAACAGAAGAAACACAAAACTGAAAAAACGTGAAACACCCACAGAGAACTGCCACACAACACTTACGAGAAAACTTTAAGTAGCACTTAAATATATTAATGGCCAGGCTCATGGTGGTTCTGATTCACATTTCCCTATGTCTAATGATGTTGTGCATCATTTCATGTGCTTACTGATCATTTGTATATCTTTTTGCATAGATATTTGTCTTTTGCTTATTTCTCAATTGAGGTATGTTTATATCATTGAGTTGTAAAGGTCATTTCTCTAGGACCCCTACCAGACAGATTTGTGTGTGTATATATATATATATTTATTTTTGTTTCTTGAGACAGGGTCTCACTATGTAGTTGAGACTGATCTGGAACTATGTAGCCCAGGCTGGTCTTGAACTCACAGCAATCCTCCTGCCTCAGCCTCCCCAGTGCTGGGATTACAGGCATGCGCCACCATGCCTGGCTGAGATTTGTATATATTTTCACTCCTGCTGTAGGTTGTCCTTTCATGTATGTGTGTGTGTCTGTGTGTGTTGGGAATAGAATCTAAGAGGACCTCCTGCTTTACCACTGAGCTATACTCCCAGCCCTTCCATTCTGTTGTTATGCAGATTAATGGGTTTCATTTTGGCAGCTTTGTACATGTACATAACATACTCTGATCATTTTCATACCACCCAGTCACCCTTTCTGTTTTCCTAACATTTACAGCACAAAATTCTTGATTTTGATATAGTCCAATATTTCTATTTTTATTTTATCACTTTTGTTTTTGGTATCTTTTTCGGTTACTCTTATACTTTTGTTTACCCATTGTACTTCCTTGTGAAACTTCACCATCTTGCGGGCAGGGTGGCACATCTGTAATCCTAGTGCTTGGGAGGCTGATGCAGAAGGATTGCTAGGCTTTCAAGGCCAGCCTGAACTACACAACAAGACCCTGTCTCAAAAAACAAAAAAAGTTTTTTTCACCATCTGTTTTATTTTTCTTTGTCTATCTCCTTAAATTGAACATTTAACTTTTTAACATATTAATTCTGATTTATAATTATCAAGACATTAAATTATTTGCCTCAAGTTTATGAGTTAATGAAGTAATCATTAATCAGTACCAGTAGTTGATTAATATTTCAAGCTCCAAAACAGTAAGGGAAAGGGGGAAAGGGAGAGCATTGCTAATTTTATGGGAAGGACACAAAAAGAAAAGAAAGAGGGATGAGGATGTAGCTTAGTGAAATAGTGCTTGCCCACCATGTGCAAGGCCCTGGGGGCAGGGGGAGAAGAAATTCAGGATAAATCTTACAAAAATTCAGTTTCCTCTGACTTCATGGAATGTGTTTAGTAAATACAGAGAAGCAGGTATTATAATTTTTCTACAGTTTTCTTCTGCAAGTTAATATTTTTTACTTTTGGAACAGAAAATTTAGAGAGGATATTATTTTCTTATCTTTAAGCTTTTCTTTCTTTTTTTGGGGGGTACCAGGGATGGAACTCAGGTTCTTGTGCTTGTGAGGCAGGCGCCAGAACCACTGAGCTAAATCCCCAGCCCTCTTTAAGCTTTTCAAATTAAACTTCATTTAAAAAATTTAAAAAAGATATTACATATAATATCTATTAATTTTATAAATATACATATATATGTATGTGTGTGTGTATATATATATATATACATACACACACACACACGTATGTACATATATTTGGTTCTGGTGATTGAGCCTAGAGTCTTGGCCCTGGAACAATATCCCAGGCCTCTTTTATTTTGATTTAGAGATAGGATTTCACTAAATTTCTAAGTTGCCCAGTCTGGTTCTTAACTTTTAATCCTCCTGCCTCAACCTTCTAGAGTAGTAGGAATATAGATGTGTACTACTACCCTTGACTCTCTGGATATGTTTCTCACATATTTCTTTGTATTATTTTTATATACTGTATATATAAATGATATATATTTATATTTTTATGAAATACCTATATAGAATGCTAAACCCAGCTAATTACCATGTGTATTACTTCATATGTCTTTATGTACATGGTAAAAAGGCTTAAAAGCTACTCTTTTTTTTTTTTTTTTTTTGTTTTGGTACCAGGGATTGAACTCGGGTCCTTGCGCTTGCAAGGCAGGCCACCAAACCGCTGAGCTAAATCCCTGGTCCTTAAAAGCTACTCTTGTAGCAATTTTCAAGAATATAATACACTGAAGTGGGTCACGGTGGTGCACACCTGTGATCCCAGCATCTGGGAGACTGAAGCAGGAGGATCGAAAAATTTGAGCCTGGCCTAACTTAGTGACTCTGTGAGACCCTGTCTCAAAATAAAAAGTTAAAAAAATGGGCTAGGGAATGTAGCTCAGGGCAAAGGGTCAGTATAATACACACACATTACACACACACACACACACACACACACACACACACACAACCACAGAGCTAGTTTTTCTTTTCCTTCCTTCCTGTCTTTCTCTCAGAAAGGGTCTATGTACTTTAGGCTGGTCTTGAACTCACTATGTGGCCCAGGCTGGCCTTGAACTCACAGTGATCCTCCTGCCTCCCTAGTGCTGAGATTACAGATGTGTGCCACCACACCAGTTGTAGAATATTTTTACTTTTGGTACTGGTATCAAAATCAGGATCTTGCACTTGCCAGGAAGGCAGAGTGCCACTGAGCTAAATCCCCAGCCCTGGGATATTTTTTAAAGCTGACAATACCAAGATCTGCTGAGGATTCACAGCAACAAAACTTACACACTGCCAATGGGAAGGGGATTTGGTATAAATACTTTGGAAAACAGTTTGGCAGTTTCTTAAAAAGTTAAACATAAGCTTACCAGTGACTGGGCAATGTAATTTAGCTACTGTATTTAACCAAAAGAACTATGAAGTTAGCTTTATAAAACAACTTGTAGTTAAATTAGCCAGTAGTTATAGCTGCTTTATTCATAGCTGTGCCAAAGGGGAACACTCAAATGCCCTTCAGTGAGTGAATAAACAGAATGCTCCATCCATATAAGCGAACGCTGCTTGGGAATAAAGAGGGACTGTTGATACATACAGGAACACAGATGAATCTCTGTCATATTATGTACATAAAAATTTTTAGATTCAGCCAGGTGTGCTGGTGCATTCCTGTAAACCCATCACTCAAGGAACCTGAGGCAGGACTATTGCAAATTTGAGCCCAACATGGGTAATTTAGCCATTTATACCCTATTTCAAAATAAAAATTAAGATGGCGAGTGCATGCCTATAATCCCAGCACTTGGGAGGCTGAGGCAGGAGGACTGCTGTGAGTTCAAGGCCAGCCTAGGTTACACAGTGAGTTTAAGGCCAGCCTGGACTGCACAGCAACATGTCTCAAAACACCAAAAACAAATAAATAAATAAATAAACAAATGAATAAAAAAGACTGTTGATACAGCTCAGTGTAAAGGCCCCAAGTTCAATCTCCAATGCCAGAAAAAGGCAGATTCAAAAGACTCCACACAGTGAGTCTGTGACTAGTGAGGCCACAGTACAGAAACAAGGAAGTCATTTCTAGAGGTGCTGAAGACTCACTACACAGAGCCCAAAGGAACTCTGGGTTCTGACGAGAATGTTCTATGTCTTGACTGGTGGCAGCTACACAACTGTTTCTTTGTGAAAACCCAGAGAACTATATACTAAAAAGAGTCAAATTTATTTTATATCAGTTATACCTCAAATTTAGCTATTAAAAATCCTGTCAAGGGCCAGGGATTTAGCTCAATGGTGCTACCACCTGGCTCACAAGCCCAAAGACCCAAGTTCAATCCCTGGTACAAAAAAAAAAATCTTGTCAGAGTCAGGCATGGTGATGCACACCTCTAATCCCAGCATAGTGGAGGCTGAGGCAGGAGGATCACAAGTTCAAACCAACTTTGGGTAACCTGAGAAGACTCTGCATTCAATCCCCAATATTCCCTCCAAAAAATTTCTATCAGTAATTACAGTTCTTGAACATGGAGTCGTGTGGCAGATGTGGCAGCTGATGCTTTGCTGCTTTCTGAAGTCTCCTCTGCTGAGCTGCAGATCCCCTGAGAACTGAAAAACAAACCAACTTTCACTTTACAAATGGACTCAGGTACCCTGTTAGGGGTAGGCAACAGAGCAACCTGATGGTAGACGTAACCCGAAGCTCAGTGAGTCTGAGGCTAGGAATTCTGGACCACAAATCTGAGTTAGACAGGACAAAGGAGGTAAGGTGGAGATCATCATGTAGGCTGATTAAACAAGGTGGCTCAGTCCTTGCACCCTCCACCCACACACTGCCAGGATCTGATGTGTTCACATTTTCACCCTGGGCCTGGTGACCTCTATACAGACCACTTTTCCAGAATGAATTCCCTCATATTTACTTTTAAATTTAATGACTTTACTAGTCATCTGACTTACTTTATTTGCTTGCTAGTAATATTTAGAGCTTCTTATTTTTCATTATGTGCTCCTATCCAACATAAAATGGACAACTGCTAAATCATTTATCAATTATGTTTTCTTGGAAAATTTTTTTATATAAATAAAAGGTCTTTTGGATCCATCATTTAAGGGGGTTTGTCTCCAATTGAGTTACCTGATGTTGAGTAAGGGCTGAACCCCCACTGACAGCTTTTCCACATTTCTGACACTTACAGGGTTTCTCCCTAGCATGGATTTCCTGATATCCAATGGGTTAGAAATTCTCACCCATGTGAACTCTCCAGTGCAGAAAGAGGTTTGAGCCTTGGCTGACGGCTCTGCTCCCTCTCTTTTCAGGGGACATGAGGCAGGAGCCAGGAACAAAGGCTGGGCCACATCTGCTTGTATGAAGGTTCTCCCTGTGTGAACCCGCTGGTGCTGAGAGAGGGCTGACCTTCTGCTGAAGGCCTTGCCACAGGCAGCACATGTGTAGGGCTTCTCCCCGGTATGGACACGCTGGTGTAGGGTGAGCTGGGAGCTCTGGCTAAAGGCTTTGCCACATGTGGTGCACTCATAGGGCTTCTCCCCCGTGTGCACTCTGCGATGTTGCACGAGGGTGCAGCTCCGGCTGAAGGCTTTGCCACATTCACTGCATGTGTAGGGTTTCTCTCCAGTGTGGATTCTCGTGTGTTCTGTAAGGTGAGAGTTGAAGCCAAAGGCTCTACCACATTCCTTACACACGTAAGGCTTCTCCCCAGTGTGAACCCTGTGATGGAGGAAGAGACTTGAGCTCTGGCTGAAGACTTTCCCACACTGGCTGCATCCGTAGGGCTTCTCTCCTGTGTGGATCCTTTGGTGCTGGATAAGGCTGGAGCTTCGGCTGAAGGCCTTCCCGCACTGACTGCATCCATAGGGCTTCTCTCCTGTGTGGATCCTCTGGTGCTGAGTTAACTGGGGGCTCTGGCTGAAGGCTTTTCCACATTCCTTACATTTATAAGGTTTCTCCCCTGTGTGGATTACACGATGTTGAATAAGACTTGAACTTCGACTGAAGGCCTTCCCACATTCACTACACCCAAAGGGTTTTTCTCCAGTGTGAATTCTTTGATGTAAAAGGAGGTAGGAATTGAGCCCAAACATTTTACCACATTCACCACATTTAAATGGTTTATTCCCAGTGTGAACCCGCCGGTGTAAAGTAAGGCTTGAGCTCTGTGTAAAGGCTCGCCCACATGGACCACACTCAAAGGGCTTTTCCCCAGTATGACTTCTCTGATGGCGGCGTAGGTCTGAATTATATTTGAAGGTTTTGCTGCATATATCACACTTAAAGACTCTTTCTTCTATTTTATTTCTTTTAAGTCCAACAACATTTTGGTTCAGATTGAAGTATCTATCAAGTGCAGCACACTCCTGGGTTCTTTGTCCTGGAGGTTGTTCCCTACACATGGTAGATTTGTTTCTAAAAACTGTCTTGTGAAGTTGAGGAGGTTTCTTCAAATTTAGTCCAGCAGACTTTTCTAGGTTCTCTTCTTCCTTTCCTTGATGGTCCCAAGTTTCCTGGGACTCAGGTGCCTGTGAATTAGCCCTTGAGAATCTATTTGACAAAAATGCTGGGGCTTTTACTTCTTCTGAACCTTTCTGGTCTAGAATGGATAGTTGCTTCTCAGTCCCAATCTCAGAATCTGTCACACAAAAACATAAATGAGTTACTAAAGGAAATCACTCATCAACAATAATCTCCATAATGTGTTCTATACTTCTATAAACTATTTTGCAAAAGATAGATACTTAGAATTCAGAAGTATCAGAAGGACAGCCAATCATCAGAATGAAAATATTTATGTATTTGTTATTAAGGGAAGGAGATGCAAACATAATGACTTTTCACCTATCAAATTAGCAAGTTAATCCACTCAACAATATTGAGAAGGCCAGGCATGTTCTATGTAAGGAACATAAAAGGACAACAAACACAGCCTCTGGTCTCAAGAAACTTATGTTCTATTCAGGAAGTACACACACACACACACACACACACACACACACTGCCCTGGGTGGCAAAGATCTTTGCATGCACTAGACAAACAATCCACTGCTGAGGTATACTACCAGCCCTTTTTATCTATTTTGAGACAGTACCTTGCTAAATTACCCAGCCTAAGCATTACAGGTGTGAACCACCACACTTGGCTTGCCTGACTTATGATCACACATAGGCTGCATGTCGGCCACTGCTGACTTGTTTCCTTACCCATTCCAATGGGAATCTCATTTCTTCCTGCAATCATCTGAAAATGTAGACTTTACTAGAGCCCACGATACAGTCCTGTGTTTTCTGAATATTTCCATATCATATAGTCTGTCTTTCTTTCCTTCTTTCGACAGTCTCATTATGTACTTCAGGATGGCCTTGAATTTACTATGTAGACCAGGTTGGCCTTGAACTCATGGCAATCTTCCTGCCTCAGCCTCCTGGGTGCTGGGATTTCAACATGCACCACCATACCTGGCTCACACAGCTTTACATTCTTTTTTTTTTTTTTTTTTTTTTGGTACCGGGGATCAAACTCAGGCCCTTCTGCTTGTGAGGCAGGTGGTGGAACCACTGAGCCAAATCTCTGGCTTTACATTCTTTTTAAAATTCTACTTGCAATCTGGTATGGTGGCACATGCCTGCTAGTCAGGATGTAAAGCAGAAGGATCGTGAGTATGAGCCTGGGCAACTTAGAGAGACCCTAACTCAAAATAAATTAACAATTACAAAATAATAACAGGGCCAGGGATTTAGCTCAGTGGTGCTGCCACCTGCCTCGCAAGTGCAAGACCTTGAGTTCCATCTCTGGTACCAAAAAAAAAATAAAATAAAATAAAAAATAATAATAATAATAACAACAACAATGAAAAGGGCTGAGGTTATAGTTCAATAGTAGAATGACCCTGGATTCAATCCCCAGTACTAGGAAAAAAACCAAGTCCAAGAACTCGAGGATGCCATTATGGCCAGAACAAGATGTTGGTGTGGGAAGGGGCAGTGGTAGAAGGAATAAACACAGAAGGAGTTACAGAGGTCTTTCTACTAAATAAAACTTTCTTCTAAATATTTTATAAATAATAATATCTGACATTGAAGACAATTGAAGGAATAATCTCTGTCATATTCTGCTGGAGTAACTATAAATAAATAGGATTTTTAAATGGAGAGCTGGTATTATGTACCAAAAGGATTAATATATTATATAACGTTTATCCCCAAAAATATTCTTCAAGAATTTTTTGGGATAAGGATTTAGCTCAGTGGTACTGCACCTGCCTCATAAGTGCAAGGTCCTGACTTTGATTCCCAGTACTGCAAAAAAAAAAAAAAAAGCAAGCAAGGAGAAAAGGAATTTATCCTAAGTAGTCATGCACAAAGTCCCAAAAATATTCTTCAAGAATTTTTTGGGATAAGGATTTAGCTCAGTGGTACTGCACCTGCCTCATAAGTGCAAGGTCCTGACTTTGATTCCCAGTACTGAAAAAAAAAAAAAAAAAGCAAGCAAGGAAGGAAGGAATTTATCCTAAGTAGTCATATGCACAAAGAAATGGCTATTATTACAATCACTGAAGTGCTCTTCATGATTGTGGGGAAAGGAGAAAAAACCCAAATGTTCAAAAAATAGGAGTGGAGGCTGGGGATTTAGCTCAGTGGTTCTGCTGTCTGCCTGGCAAGTGCAAGGACCTGAATTCGACCCCCAGTACCTCACCCCAACAAAAAAAAAGAAAAGAAAAATAGGAGTGGGCCAGGTGTGATGGTGCACATCTGTAATCCCAGCAATTAGGAGGCTGAAACAAGAGGATCACTTCTAGTTTGTGACCAGCCTGACTACATAGTGAGCTCAAGGTCAGCCTGAACTACATAGCAAGACTTTTTCTCACAAACAAAATAAACAAAAACTAGGGATGTAAGTTAAATCAATGGTAAAGACTTGCCTAGCATGCTCAAGGGCCTAGGTTTTGTCTCAGCACTATAAAAACAAACAATTAAAAACAAAACCACAAACCAACAAAACCCCCAAAATAGAGGTTTAAAATAATGACAGACTATTCATATAATGGAATACCTTTCTGGCATTATAATTATACAATAGAAAAATATATAATTAAAAAGTCTATGCTACAAAGTGAAAAATCAAGTTCTAAATTATATGTACAACATAAAACAACTTTTATTGAAAATATGTAGTAAGGCAATTGGTCTTTCTTTCTTTCTTGGTACCAGGGATAAAACTTCCTTCTGCTTGCCAGGCAGGCATGGAGCTATTGAGCTACATCCCCAGCCCCGTTATTTCTTTTTCGGTAGTGTGGATAGGACTCGGGTCCTTGAGCTTGCGAGGCAGGCAGCAGAACCACTGAGCTAAATCCCCAGTCCCCTGCCCCCGCTATTTCTTTCTAACATTTAGTTTACTACATACTGGTGAATTCAACTGGGCTTACCATTCTCTCTGAGGAAAAGTTTTAAATACTGAGTCAATATCTTAATACTAAAAGGATTACGTGCTAGGCTTTTATCACAACCTTGAAAATTCTATTTTTCTAGAACATTTATATTACATTTTATCTCCATGTTAAAAACTTCTGTAATATAAATGTATTCAAAATATCTTTTTGAAATAGTCTTCAGTATCTGTGTTGATAGCTCAATTTTCTATTTGGTTGTTTTCACAATATGACACAATTTTAAGGTAGTACATTCATAGAAAATGCCAGCTTTTGCTCCCATGCTCCGACTTTAATGTCATGATTTAGAAGATGCAGATGTTATTGCCTGAATATTATTCTATAAATTTCCATCAGTGTTAAGGGAAACACTTTAAATTACTACTTTATACCATAATTACTGAGTTACGGCTCACAGTTTTACCTGACTGGCAGTTTCAGTAATCTTTGAAAGCTATGATGTCTCTGGTATCCACTTAAATCAGACTCCACTCATACACAGTCTTGGAGGCTTACAGACTTCCTTTTCCCACTGCACCAGATGCCCCAAGAGGTGATGGACACTGTGGACGCAGGAGAGCATAAGAGCTCCCTCTGCTCCTAGGTGGTTACTGATATCCAGCACTTTGTGGATCTCTTACATCGTCACTGCGATCCATGCCAACTAGTGGTTTGCATGCTCCAGGTGAAGTGCAGAGAGCAAGACTTTTCTTCTGTTTCATACTTTTACTCAGCAAACACACACGGTTATGATGCCTTGCGAGTTTTGAAGTTATAATTTTTTGGGGGGAGGCACTAGGGATCGTACTCAGGACCTTGTGCTTGAGGCAGGCAGAGGAACCACTAAGTCCAAATCCCCAGCCCCATGAAGTTATAGTAATTTACTAAAAAGATTAGAGGAGCCTTGACTTCAAGTCTGGGACAGTGGTTAAGGCTTTGTGGGACAGGCTGGCTGAGGCAGGTGGGTCTTTGTATGTTGCAGCTTGCCATTCCTAGGGCTGGCTGTGGAAAGTGCTATGACTGGCAATGCTTTGTGGGAAGTGGATTTGATGTGGAGTGGTTGCACTGGTAATACTGTGGACTGAAGCACCTTAAGTTCTCTGAACAGGAAAGTGCTGTTCTCCTTGCCATTGTGAATCACTGGGTATCTGGCTGCAGTAGTTCTCTCACTGCAAACCTGTTTCACTGCATCATTCCACCAGATGCTATGTTGTTACTGCGGATGGTGGGGCTTTTCTTGTGCTCAAGTATATTTGCCTTCTTGGGATCCCTGTGTTTCCAAGAATGGGACTGGCAGGAGTAATTCTCTTTCTTCCCACAGCACTGCTGTTAGATTTTTCAGGAAAGAATTCCATCTTCTCTGAGGTCATTGTCTGAGATATAGGTCTGATTTTGCCTCTGACACAAAACTGAAGTAATAACTACTTCAGTGTGGTCACTGTACTGTCTGTTCCTGGCTTGAAGAAACCCTTCTCATACTTTGTAGTGAGGAGACTGGCCAATGTTGCTGCTCAGGTCACTGCCTGGGTGCACCTTAGCAGGTAAAATGTTGCTGCTAGAACTGGAGTCACCAGCATCCAGCTCGGGATATAGATGCAATTTCATATTTCATTTTACTAAGAGATTCTTGAATTTCAGTGTATCCGCTGCCTGCTTTGCAAGCACAAGGTCCCAAGTTCGATCCCCAGGACCCCCCCAAAAAAAACTATTATAGACATCTGTGTACAGATTTTTATAAGGCATAAATTTTCAATTTATTTGGGCAAATACCAAGAATGCAACTGCTACATCTTATACTATTTGTAGTTTTCTAAGACACTGATGAACTGTCTTCCCAAGTGGCCAGGCCATTTTGCATTCCACCCAGCAATGACTAAGAACTACTGTTGCTCCACATCATTAGCAGCATTGGGTGCTGTCAGTGTTCTTAACTGTGCATTTGCTGATAGTCTGATTTTTAAATTTGCAATTCCTTAATGACATGTAATGTGGAGCATCATTCCACATGATTACTTGTTTACATCTTTGGTTCAGTGTTTGTTCAGGCCTTCTGACTATTTTTAAATGATCTTTTTTTTTTTCTTCGGTACCAGGGATTGAACTCAGACCCTTGTGCTTGTGAAGCAGGCAGTGGAACCCCTGAGCCAAATCCCTGGTCCGAGTTATCTTCATATTGTAGACTTTTAAATGGTTTTGATATATTTTA